TACAGCAATTAAGCGCCAACCCGGTCCATGACGCAATGATGGACTCTGGAGCGAAAAAAAAATCCAACAATAGCCTTAGGCTGCCGATTCCCGAAGCCGAGCTCCCTCGATATCGGAGTGAGATCATAATGACGCAAAGGATACAGTGGAAGAGGTATATAACACTCTTGAATCTCTTCCAGTTCATACCAATTGCATATACACATATACTCATAATGTCCAACACAGCCTCGAACACTTCCGTTCCTACTTCCACATCGACAGCTAACGCGCCTGCACCTGCGCCGTCTTCTGTCTCTCACCCATCTCATTCATCTACGACATCCACCTCGAATACGTCCACGACGACCCGTTCGTCGACCCAAGCGACACAAGGGTCTCATTCTACCGCCGCTTCTACTCCCGCTTCTACTGCCGAAGCTTCCACCACAGATGCATCCAACTCCAACGATACTCAGGCTGGAGGCGAACAAACTGATGCTCAAGGGTACCCGGAGCAGCGCCATGCAGGAGCTGTAGGCTATGGTCCGAATTACGGGCAAGGAGCTGGATTGGGTAAGTTTATTTTCAATGTCGTCTCGATTCAGTCGCATGATCTCGACTCTCTACAGGCGCGAAGCTTGGCGGCTTGAAGGAACAAATCAAGGGTAAAATTACGAGGAACCCTGAGCTCGTCGAACATGGCAAGGATCGCCGGACGGGTGAGCTGAAGAAGAAGGAGGAGGAGGAAGAAGTAAGTTCAAGGCTTCCGTGTTATCGTTCTATTTAACGCCTTTTTTTGTTACGTAGATGAAGGAAAACGATCCGTTCGCTGCACCCGATGAGGGCAAGGATGAAAGCAAGGATGAATCCAATGATCAGTCTAAACCCAACGGTGACTCCACGGCACTAAATCCACTGCTCAACCGCGTCTGACTCTACCAGCACCAAATCCACTGGTCAATCTAAACTCAACGTGTCCGACTCCACCAGCACTAAACCTACTACTCAATCCAAACCCAGCGTGTCCGACTCTACCAGCACCAAATCCACCGCTCAATCTAAACCCAACGTGTCCGACTCCGTCAGCTCCAAATCTACTACTGGATCCACCGACCCACCAAAACCACTTCCGCCGCTGAACCCACACCCAACACTTCCTCCGCTTTTGGTACTTCGAATACCTCTGCTCCTCCACAACCCTCTGTTGGGCGTGCGCGTGATGCTCAAGGGCAGACATTCGACTCTGCGCCTGCTGCTGCGAAGGAAAGTGGGAGTGGGATGGCGAAGCCCGATGATATCAAGCAGATTGACGAGTCTGGTAGAAGAGGGATGAGCGAGACTCAAGGCACGAAGCCGGGGATATTGCGAGAGATGCCGTGCAGACACAGGGACAGGGAAATTCAGGTGTGCAGCCGGGGGATATTGCGAGAGATGCCGTGCAGACAAAGGCCAGGGAAATACAGGTGTACAGCCGGGGGATATTGCTAGAGTGCGTGCAGACGAAGGGGGGGGTGTTCAGCCAGGGGATATTGCGAGAGATGCTACGGAGACACGAGGAGCTACAGGTGCACAACCAGGAGAGATCGCTAGAGATGCTGTGAATGTTTGAACACTGTTATGGTTGTTGACTACTAGAATGTTTGCAGAATGTAGGAAATGATTTAGTAATTGCGATAATGTATAATATAGCCACTTTTGTTTTCGTGCACTACAGCGAGATACGAAAGCGTTCGACGATCAAAACGAATTTGAAGAGGGAAAACCCAGAAGCTAACGTTGAACGGTTTCTTCTTAGCAAAATAGTTGGAGATATGGAGAAAGAGGTCGATGAGGGCATCTGTATTGGATTAGACTCAAGCTCAAGCATTAATGGGGTAGTGGTAACCTAGGTCGTTGCCATCAACGGGTCTCGATTCCCTATAATGCATAGGGACAGGGTAAATACAGTGTTTTTGCTTGAAGGGTCCATCGGGGCTGGGGCGCCACATTAGCAGGCGTGGGAGAAGATCGATAGTGACGCTGTTATTGACGCGTTTGACGTCATGGCTCTCGAAAAGCAGATAAAAAGTGGAAATAATGAAAAGACCCACACGCATAATGTTCCGTACAGCCATCTCCCGAGTTTCCGCGACAAGCAGTGTTCGCGGTTTCCATGCATCGCCCGCTGCCTCCAAGACAATGACAGAAAAAGTCTCAGAGGCAGCAAGCAAGGTACGTGAAGCGCCAGCCTTTTGAACAACGTCTGATTCTTGCTTTCGTTCAGGTGAATAAGAAAGTAGGACAAGGACTGGCTTCAGCTATTGAAAAGGGCGAGCATGCTACTGAATCAACCAAGGAATCTCTAGGTCCGTATCCCAGTCTACTTTGTCTTTTATTTGTCTCACGTATCTCCTCAGGCTCTGCTGCCGGTCGAGCGAAAGAAGGCGCAGAAGAAGGCGCCGAATCAGCAAAGCACAAAGCCAACCAAGTACGTTTCTTTACCCCTTTGACTCTGCCGGTGATTTATCTCCTATTCCAGGCATCCGCCGGCGCAAAAGCAGCCAAGGAAGACTTTAAGAGTGAAGTGAAAAAGTAGACTCATCCATCGCATCCGAATCTCCATAGCATACATCGTCTGTACTGCATAACTGTATAATAGTTGCCAACGTAGTAATCTTTCATCATTCAGCGTTGCCCCGACGCGGGTCGGCCTAGAGTCAGCGCGGGCCCGGGCTCGGTCCCGAGTTGGGATATAAGCGCGGCCGATTTCAAAAAATTTCTTCAACCCAAACAATTTTAACCCCATAACCAAACCAACAACCGAAGGCAGTTTTATACAGAACTCTCCTTCTATTTTGTCTACATCGTATGAAAGTGTATGTGGGCATCTCCCCAGCTTAGCGCCGTCGAGCTGACCACGGTTTACAGTGAAGAAACTAACACCCAGAATGTCAACGACGTAAATCAAACCATCGAGTCCACGAATGTGGACAAGATAATCGATAGGTAAGCGCAAGATCTTTGCTTTTTACGAGCCTGTTTAACGGACACTTAGTTTCGATGATATGGATTTAAACCCAAAGCTCCTTCGTGGAATCTACGCTTACGGGTGAGTGCAACCCAATCCCTTGACTTAAAACAGTCCCTAATCGAAATATTAGTTTCGAGCGTCCCTCTGCCATCCAGCAGCGCGCCATCGTCCCCGTCATCAAACAACACGATGTCATCGCACAGGCCCAGTCCGGTACAGGAAAGACCGCCACGTTCTCCGTGTCCATCCTGCAGCGCATCGACCCCACCGTCAAAGCGACCCAGGCCATCCTCCTCGCCCCCACCCGCGAGCTCGCTCTTCAAACGCACAGAGTCGTCGTCGCCCTCGGGGACTACATGGAAGTCACCAGTCTCGCGTGTGTCGGCGGCACCAATATCCGCGAAGATATGAACCTCTTGCGGTCTGGTATGCAGATCGTCGTGGCTACTCCCGGGAGACTGGTGGATATGATCAAGCGCGGCGCCCTCAAGACGGACCATACCAAGATCCTATGCCTCGACGAGGCGGATGAGATGCTTTCTCAAGGATTCAAAGACCAGATCTACGAGGTGTTCCAGCTGCTCCCCGGGGACATGCAAGTTGTCCTGTTTTCGGCTACCATGCCGAACGAGGTCCTCGAGGTGACGGATAAGTTCATGCGTAACCCTGTGAGGATTTTGGTTAAAAAGGACGAGCTTACGCTGGAGGGGATTAAGCAGTTTTATATCGCGATTGATAAGGAGGAGTGGAAGTTGGATACGCTGAGCGATATATATGATACGATATCGGTTGCGCAGAGTGTTATCTTTTGTAATTCGAAGAGGAAGGTGGATTGGTTGACGCAGAAGATGGAGGAAAGGGAGTTTACGGTTTCTGCGATTGTGAGTTTCGCCTCTTCACCTCTCTCTTACTTCCTATCATTCTCATCATTATTCTAACCGACGATTTCTCCCATCACAGCACGGCGACATGGACCAGAAAGAACGCAACCTCATCATGACGAGCTTCAAAACCGGCTCCACCCGCGTCCTCATCACCACCGACCTCCTCGCCCGCGGCATCGACGTCCAGCAGGTCTCCTTGGTAGTCAACTTTGACCTCCCCGTCAACAGGGAGAACTATATCCACCGTATCGGCCGTGGAGGCCGTTTTGGAAGGAAGGGCGTCGCGATTAATTTCGTGACCCAGCAGGATGTGGGGACGTTGAGGGATTTGGAGAGTGAGTACCTGTTTTTGTTTATCTCTATATAAGTACTGACGTTCTGTAACAGAGTTCTATAGTACCCAGATCGATGAAATGCCGATGAATGTCGCGTGAGTGGTTCTTCGAATAGTTGTTTCTTTTGGAGGTGTTCTGACGAAGACCAATAGTGATTTCATCTAACGTGGTATTGCTGGCTCCTTCTATTAGTGGTTTTTCTTTCGTATGCTATGCATACTATGCATATCTCTATGTACTTTTTGTTTCCGATGATCCAATGTAAATGGGTTATTATCTTTATCCAATCTTGGAACTGTGTGCGGCGCGAGTTAAGGAATGTTGTTGGTATCTGCAACAGGCAAGAGGCAAGAGGCAAATTATCTTGCTTGCACTGCACCTAGGTGTAAGCAACTTCAGAATGTGTTGAGTTCGGGGAAGTATGTTGTGTTGATACGGTGTTATCATCTTAACTTCGTTTTATCCAGTACCTTTGCATCGGTTTCCTGGAGGTCTTTGAGAGGCTGAGCGCATCGTCGAAAGAGCAGATGGGACTCGGAGGATCGCTGGATCGCTCGGATCGCTCGGATGTCCGGCGAAGCCTCCCTCAAGCGGGATAAGATGATCGGGTGGAAAGAAAGAAAGGGTTCAGCTGGAAGTTGGAAGTTGAAGGCCAGGAGAAAAGAGTCGAGTGCACTGGTGAGGGGTGGAGCGTGGAGTGGAGTGTGGGGTGGGAGGGAGGGAGATGGATTGAAAACTGAACACAAACAGAGAATCTGGTCAAATGTGTTGGTTTGCTCTTGTAACTAAGCATTAATGGGGTAGTGGTAACCTGGGTCGTTGCCATAAGGATGGAACTTCCTCTCGACCCGCCGGGGGTTCGATTCCCTCTTAATGCATCAAGCGATATAACGAGGTTGTTGTTTTTTTTTTTGCATGAAAGGCCAGTAATCTTGCTGTGTTGGTTATTTTACTCGGCGATTTATGAGCTCATGTGATATGCGGCTGTATCTCTCGTCCTGTACTATGACAGGACATCGACTAACTAGGAAATCCCTAGGTACTTGACTTCATTGCTGAAAGAGCAGATAAGAGTCAGATAAGAGAGTGGTTGGATGTCCGGTGAAGTGTATCTGATCGGGGGGTATGATGAGGCCAGAAGAAAAAAGTCAGTGGGGCCTGGTGAGGCCCGGTGAGGAGTGGAGTGGGGGGAGGGGGGGACGCATTGGAAAGCCAGAAGAAAAGAGTTGAGGTGTGGGGGATGCAGAGTGGATAGGGAGTGGATAGGGAGTGGATAGGGAGGGGGGGAGAGGGAAAAACTGTACACAAACAGTGAATCTGGTCAGAAGTCTGAAGGATGTTGGGTTACACTTGAGCATTAATGGGGTAGTGGTAACCTGGGTCGTTGCCATAAGCGAGATGTATTAGGCGGATTTCTCGACCCGCCGGGGGTTCGATTCCCTCTTAATGCATGGAAAATGTAGTTCATTATCTTTTTTTTTTTTGCTACAAAGTCCATCTTGCCATAGAGTCAGTTGTTCTATTCGGCGATTTATGAGCCTATATAGTGTGTAATAGCTGTCCTGTAGTATTGTTACAGGACATCTGCTGAGTACATTGCTGAAAGAGGAGATAAGAGAGTGGCTGGATGTCTGGTGAAGTGTCTCTGAAGCAGGATATGATAGGGCCAGAAGAAAAGGCCAGTGAGGCCCGGTGAGGAGTGGAATGGGGGGGAGGGGGAGGGGGATGAATGTGAAATGGAAACGGGCCAGGAAAGGCTGAGATCTCGGAGTGTTGAATGTTTATGGAGCATTAATGGGGTAGTGGTAACCTGGGTCGTTGCCATCGGTGGTCAATTCTCGTATGACAGATTATTTCTTTCGACCCGCCGGGGGTTCGATTCCCTCTTAATGCATAGATGCTCACCTCAGGATGCATACACGGTGATTTTTTGCTAGAAAGTCCATCTTGCCATATCAATCACTCTATCTGGCGATTTATGAGCCCACGGCGTAGTAACAACGCGTCTCGTGCAAGATGCAGGACATTTTACATATGGTTGCCTCAATGATTTCCGAGCTTGCCAGGCTGTTGCAACCTGAGTACTCCTCCATGGTTAACGTTTTAACATCAAGTTGGTAAATCTGCAGCAAGCCAATCATCGTGCGAACTTATAGTTGCGTACTTGAAGCATATCAACTTCGTGGTATGTCCTTCTGATACAGCCCTCCGTGACCATGTTTTGCACCGGTCTACTGGCTAGGAACTTGACTTCACATCTGCTGAATGTATCGCCAAAATAGCGGATAAGAGAGCGGCCGCTGGATGTCCAGCGAAGCGTCCCTTCGGAAGCGGGATATAATATGTATGAATGTGAGGAGTGGAGTGGGGGGATGGGGAGAGAAATGGAAAAACCGAGATTCTCTCACTTGGGTGTGCTTTCTCCCAAGTTCAGAACGTTAATAACGGAGTGGTGGTCACTGATAGCCTGGGTCGTTTTCATGGGCAAGTGAATCTTTCGACCCGCTAGGGGTTCAATTCTCTCTTAATGCCGCCGCATAAGTGGTACTCGCGCAGGCGTACAGAATGCCATTGTCTTTTCGCTTGCCGTATAGCCTATCCTACAAGTTGTAGACAAATGTGGGTCATTGGAACTGTCACCATCTCCTTCTGGTGTCGCCTTGGTGTCGCCTGATTGGTTTCTTGTCCAGTCGAAATTCCTCGCTCTCAAAACTTTTCCATCCTACTCCTTCGACTATCACCGCTATCCACAGCCTGCTTCGCTGTGTACCTACGAAAACTATGCATCTCTCTGGGGTTATACCGAGTCGGAGTCCCAGTTTTCGTATCCTCGATGGTTGCAGACCAGCTGAGCAATTTGTCGGATGTTTATTCTTAGCTCATTAACTGTTTAAAGTAGTGTTCAATTCGATTTTCCCGCGCGCGTTTGCTAAGTTATAGACCGGAGTGAACTTAATTTACTGCAACAGGGCATTGTCATTGAACCCATGACCACGTCCTCTTCACATTGTAGCCACTTATTCACGAGCCATAGTGCTTGTATTGTAATCAAGTCTTGAGGATAGTTCGTATGAATGCTGGAACTTTTTCCTCTTTCTTGCAAGCTTACACGAGTTTTCAAGGTAAGATAAACTAGATTATGTATCTGAAAGTTGGGTGCTGTTTGAAAATTGGAATTTTCTCTTAAAAGGATACTGGATAAGTCGAAGTTAAGTGGCCTGATGCAGATTGGATACTATTGGATACATAATATTCATGAAGATACATATGTCGGTGGAGGTGCATCCGATTGTCCATCTGCTGTCCAGTCAAGCTGAGATTCGAGACGATGCATATGCTCCACCATCCTACCAATAGTAGCCTCCATTCTTCCAATCTGGACCCGTACATCATCCTGGCTGGAACTATCCTGACTCTGAGTCGAGGTTGGGAGGAGTGGCGAGCCTGAAAGGCTCAAAAGAAGGTTTTCAGAGGTGGGGATGGCCGCTGCTTCAGCCTGAGGTGTTGTATTAGTTTGAGTACGGTGTCCCTTTTCTCGTGTATGGGACATTATGCCATTAGGAATAATGTCAATGTCCGAGGCGTCAGGTTTATCATATCCGTGCGTCATCTCTTGTTCTAACGGAAAGATATGGCCTGATCCTCCTACTTGTTGACGCCGAGAGTTACGTCGGCGGCAGTACACAAGAATGGAAATTCCTGCAACAAGCACAAATAACGAGCCAATCACAGCTCCTATGATGCCCGCGGTTGAAAGCGAGTGGCTTTATATAATGTCCAAATTAGCAAGTTGTCGGTATTCACAAGTTCAAAAAAAACAAACAACAAAGACGCACATTGTTGGACCGGCTTCGTTTGAGGTCAGAGATGTAGAATTGGTACTCTGGCTTGTTGAGATCGGACTAAGAAGTATCTTCAGGAATTTTTACTAAATCAGAGGGTTTATAGTAAACAGACCTTGGTGATGGAATTTCGTTGGTGCCAATGCCAGTGCTTGCACTAACAGTGGATGTAGTAGAGCTACTTCTACTGCTTGAAACTTGGCTTGTACTAGAGGGTGGCGGCCCAGATTCGCTATTTGGTTGTTGACCTGCTGGTGCGCTATTTGGTTGTTGACCTGCTGGTGCGCTATTTGGTTGTTGACCTGCTGGTGCGCTATTTGGTTGTTCACCTGTCGGTGCGCTATTTGGTTGTTGACCAGTCAGACCACTGGTACTAGAAGTTGACATATAGTTTGGCAAAGAGCTGTTGTCTTTGAGTGTAGTGGGTGACAGTTGGATCCCGTTTAAGTGGCTGTCTTTATATGGACTATCCACATATAAGTGATGAACACAAGAAGCATCACTGAACTGGTACAATTACGTCTGGGGATGGGGAAATACTACCACCAGTGGAGTCACCCAATTGGTCGGCATGATAGGACATTTGCACCACCATATCAGCTGTTCCATACTATTTTTTTTAAAGATTCTCCAAAGATTCTCCCAGTAATTTCTTAACTCCGAAAGAACTTGAAGAGAGTAATGCCCCAATTTAGCCTGAATCCTACAAAAGTGTGAGATTTTGGAATTGAACGATTCTTTTTCGGCTCTGTTGAAGGCTAGAAGAAAAGGGTCGAAGGTGTACCGGCGAGGAGTCCGAAAGTGTGGGGGGAGGCAGGAGGGAAGGACAGAGCACAAATAGAGAATCTGCTCAGAATCGGAGGGGACGTTCGTGTTGGTTTACACTTAGTGCCATATACTCAATAAGGGGTAGAAGAGTGCCCGACCCGCCGGGGGTTTGATGCTCTCTTACTAAATGCATGGGAATGTTCTACTTGGCGATTGATGAGCCCATGTAATATGTAGCTGTATTGCTTGTCCTGTACAGAAAGTTTGACATTCCTCCAATACATGATTGCCTCATGGTTAACTCGTGTTGTTGGTAAGCCAATTGTCATGCGAACTTGTATCTAAGTAATTGTAGGGAAGAAAAGCCACCTTATACTTATTTAACTTGTCATATTACTTCATTGGCATGCCATTCTTCTGATATACCGGACCCCACTATATGTTTTGTACCGGTCTGTTAGAGGGACTTGACTCCGCATATACTGAGTGCATTGCCGAAAGAGCAGATACTGGATGTCCAACGAAACATCTCTGAAGTGAGATATAAATATCATATGATCATATATGCTAAAGTTCAAGAAGCTTTGAAGGCTAGTTGAAGAAAAAGTCAAAGTAAGGAGGCCGGGCCAGTGAAGAGTGGGGGGAACGCATCGGGTGGGTGACGAAAAACGGAAAAGCTGAGAGCCTATCATTCAAACTTGTTGATACATCGTCTTGTGAGCTAATTGCATAAGCATATGTTGCCGGTATGTTTTGCCCCGGTCTGTTAGAGGGACTTGACACTTCGTATCTGTTGAGTGCCAAAAGAGGCTGATATGGTTCGAGCCTGGAGAGCAGCCGCTGGTGCTGGATGTCCAGTGAAACACCTCTGCTATGATATATAATATGCTGTGACGAAAAAGAAAAAGTTCATTTGGAATTTGTTATTGAAGGCTGGGGCCGGGAAGAAAAGGTGAAGGCGAGGAGTGGAGTGTGTCCAAGTCGGGGGAGGAAGGGGAGGGAGGGAGGATAGGGAGAAGGAGAGAGGGAAAAGCTGAGATTCTTGTTTGAGTGTCCTTACTCTCAAATTCAGAGGGATATTTGTGTTCGTGTTCAACTATCATCGAGCATTAATGGGGTAGTGGTAACCTGGGTCGTTGCCATAAACTCGGAATACATCGTACATTTTCTCGACCCGCCGGGGGTTCGATTCCCTCTTAATGCACTGTGTCTTTGCTCCCAATTTTTTGCTTTCAAGTCCATCCGTAACATATAGATTAAGAACTCTGCTTGGCAAAAGATTATGGGAGTAACCCCTTTCCCTTGGACTATTGCAACCGGAATACACTCTTTCTTTGTTAACTTCAAGGAATGTGTCTTGCAAACTTGCACTGTATCAAATTGTAATCAAAAAAATAAAAGAACAACTTGAAAATCCTGTTGTGAGTGCGTCGCATCGCTGGGTTGGCATGCAGCCCACTATATTTGGCACTGGCGGTTTCAAACTTAAGGTCTGCTAGAAAAATTGGACTCTGCATCTGCTGAGCGCATTGTAGAAAGGGTTGACAGATTGTAAGAGAGGAGCGGCTGGGTATCCGGAGAAGCGCCTTTGAAGCGGGATAAGATATGGTGTGGAAAGAAAGAAAGCGCTCAGTTGGAAGTTGCTAAAGGCCCAAAGAACAGGTCGAAGGTGAGGCATTGAGGAGCGGAGGGCAGTGGGGGATAGGAAATAGAACCGGGTGTGATTGCTCTCTGTTAGTATATACAGAATGCCTCCGAGTCGTACATCTCCGTACGATCACGTTACTTTCTCACTTACTATATATATCACTTAGGCGCCGTTTGCCGTTAGCACACCTCAGTTGGAATATGACATCGACTGAGTAACTTACGGTACTTACTCCATTTGGATTCAGTTTTTCTACGCTCTCAAGCTCCCAAGGATGTGTGTTAACAAATTATAAGCAAGCATTAATGGGGTAGTGGTAACCTGGGTCGTTGCCATACATTCAATCCACAAGAAGTATGAGTTTCTCGACCCGCCGGGGGTTCGATTCCCTCTTAATACATGTAAAGCGGTTAGTATGATTGTTTTTGCTTCAAAGTCCAACTGGACGTATACAGTATTATACTTGTGATTGCATAAACATATGCTGCCTCTATGTTTCGCCCCACCCCGTTCTGTTAGAGGGACTTGATTTTGCGTCTGTTGAGTGAGACAGATATGGCTTGATCTGGAGAGCAGCCACTGAATGTCCACTCTACTAGATATAATATGCTGTGGGGTGAAAGATTGTATTCAGTTGGAAGCTATTGAAGGCCGGAAGAAAAGGTCGAAGTGAGGAGTGGAGTGTGTCAGGAAGAAGGGGATGAAGGGGGATGAAGGGTGGATAGGGAGGAGGGGAGAGGGAGGAGGGGAGAGGGACTCTCTGTTCGAGTGTCCTTGCTCTCAGATTCAGAGGGATGTTCGTGTTCATGTTTAACTGTAATCGAGCATTAATGGGGTAGTGGTAACCCGGTCGTTGCCATAAACTATAAAATCTGAATTGATGGTGCAGTTTCTCGACCCGCCGGGGGTTCGATTCCTTCTTAATGCACTACAGGCTCGTGACAAGCTCTCCCAATATTTTTGCTTTCCAAGTCCATCCGCGACGTATAAATTAGGTTACTCTGCTTGGCAAAAGATTATGGGAGTAGCACCCTTTCTCTTGGACTGTTTAGCGACCGGAGTACGCTCTTCCTTTGTGTTAGCTTTAGGGAATGTGTCTTGTGAACTTGAGGTACCACACTCCACATCAAGTTGTAACCAAGAAATTTAAAGAACGACTTGAAAATCCTGCTTAGTGTGTTATATCACTTTGTTAGTATGTAACCCACAATGTAAGTATGGCACTGGTGGTTTCAAAAGGTTTGTTAGAACTTGGAAACATCGGACTCTGCATCTGCTGAGCGCATTGTAGAACTTAAAAGAATTAATACTAGATCATAAGAGAGCAGCTGGATATGCAGTGAAGCGTCTCAGAAGAGGGATAGAATATACTGTGGAAAAAAAGAAAGGGTCCAGTTGGAAGTTGCTGAAGGCCCGAAGAAAAGGTAAGGTGAGGAGCGGAGGGCAGTGGATAGAATATAATTCGAGTGTGATTGCTCTCAAGCTGGAAGGACATGCGTAGCAAGTTATAACCAAGCATTAATGGGGTAGTGGTAACCTGGGTCGTTGCCATGGACGTGCATCTTCGACCCGCCGGGGGTTCGATTCCCTCTTAATGCATAGGTGGCCGCCTGTTCTAATACGATTGTTTTTGCTTCAAAGTACAACTGGACGTATACAGACAGTTACTTGGTGATTCGTGTTATGAGCCCAACGTAGTAATAAGTAGCTGTATCACTCGTCGTGTACAGGACGTTTGGCATTTCTCAAATACATGATTGCCTCGCTTGGACTATAACAGCTCTTCGCATAGTTAAGGCGTGCGTGTATGCGTATGCGTATACTTTAACTCTACGGCAGGTTACATAATTGTCCACGGTCAGCAAAAGGGGCAGCCGGTTTGATTCGTCGTATCACTTTGTCGGTATTTAATTAAGTCTTATGGTCTTCAGATACAGCCTATGATATTAAACTTTCTGTCGGCTTTGGATGTCTGCTGAAGGAACTTGACTCAGATGCGTCGTTGGAAGGCCAGATAAGTGGTTGGATGCCATCCAACGAAGCATCTGCATCTTTGAAGCGGGATATGTTGAAAGCTAGAAGAAAAGGTCGAAGGTGCCGGTGAAGAGGGAAACACGGAGTGGATGTGAGAGAAACGGGAAGGCTGAAATTCTCTCCGAGTCATTGGAGTCCGCTCACTCTCAAGTTCAGAGAGTTACATGAATCCAAAACAAGCATTACAATGGGGTAGTGGTAACCTAGGTCGTTGCCATGGGCGAGAAGCAAAGAACTTCTTTCGACCCGCCGGGGGTTCGGTTCCCTCTAATGCATGTTCAAGGTGAAAGATTCAATGAATGTCGACGATTTTTTGCTTTCCGTATACTTGCCTTATTCTACATATTATGAGCCTAACCAATAGCTGTATCGTACAGGAATTTCTGCAACACGTGATGTGATATCCTGCCTCGTTTCCACGCAGACAGCCGAAGGAGCAAAAACGAGGCAGTGGACAAAGGACTCGGTTACCATATTTGGAAGTAACGCTTATTGTCCTAATTCAAATGAATGACCTTTGGACCTTTTTCAGAATGTAGGCGCTTCGCGGAGAATGAAAAAGCTATGGAAAAATCATAAACTTATCATTTCGACAATCAGTCGAGGGTCCTAGTCACATTCTTAAAATGGTCATTGTGTGTGTATAAAAGCAAGTCGCTTGGTCCCAACACTCCATTATTCGCACTTTCACCCACTTGCTACTCATCGACTTCACATCCACAACTTCGAGACACTACAACGATGTTTGCCAACACTTCGATCAACAATGCTATCGGCTCTTATGCCGCCACGAATTACACTGGCAGTTCTCAGAACGTAAGTGTGGCGACTCACTGTTTTATGAGCTACGCTGACCATTGCTTAATTTATAGTTCCAGGGTCCTAGACTCGCGCTTTGGCGCGGTTGGACTTCACCGTTGTTGGCCGGCTACAACGCGCCACCACCCACTCGTGCGCCGTCGCCTCCCAGCCCATGGGTGGCGTCGGCGACGCCACCACTTTCTTCTCGCTCCTCCGAGTCGTCGTACTCGTCGAGCTTTGCTTCACCGGTCTTTGGCCCAACGGATTACTTCGAGTTTTATCCCAGATATGATATGTCTCTACCGGTAAGTCTTTACGATTGTCCCGTCTGCAACACCTAATATTCACGGTTTATATTTTCAGGGTAAAAATATAAACCGTGAATACTACGCGCAGGAGATGGGATCGATTCCCAGCTCCACTCCCTCCTCTCCTCCTCCCTCACCTGCCTTCGTTTTGTACGCCTTCGCCGAGGATGTGACCACCGATTGCTGGAAGAACCGTTGGACCCTGTCTACCGAGCGCGACCCCATCGTTGATCACGGGACTACCAGCGGCCCAGAGTTCTTCGACAGAGCCATCAAGGCCCCGAAGAGTCGCCAGGATCTCGCTTGGGCGAACTGGCGAACGGTCCGCGCTCCCAGACCGAAGAGGGCCCAGCAGTCTGTTGCGATGGATATCATGAGGATGGAGCAGGACGCAGAGAGGTTGTGATAGTGATACGCTATCGCCAAAGGTGCCTATTGTAACTGACGTTGTTGAAGGCTCCAAATTTTATTGTTTTTTCATCGTGATGTTGTCCCTGCGTTTGTATCTTGTAATTGTAACTGTATCAGTGTTAGATAGTATACCATCTGTGATCGAAAAGATTTACCTTGCCTGGATTTTAGTTTCGTCGCTCCGACGCAAGCTGTTGAAGAGAGATGAAAGAAGATTTTTTTCAGCCCCAGACGCCCTAAAGTTTTTTTTTTCGTTCGGATGAATCGGATGAATCGATCAAACCGTGGGATCATCGATTGTCGCAACTTAGACATACGCTCCCAACACGCTCCCATTGTCGCCAGAGCGCGCCGGGCAGATACAAAGTATTTGTACTTTGTCATTCTTCATGTATATGTTGATCTGTTCTTCTCATAGCTTCAAGCTTGACTCCAGGAAATCTTGTATCACAGATTTCGGAATACACGTTAACTGGCAGTACTGTGAAGATTCAACAGATCTGTCCCTATTTGTTGCATATCTCGCTGGTCGGGTACTCACAGAATCTCCGGTACCATTCGATGCGCCAATACTCCACACAGACAGCTGCAGTCTCAAGTTATTGTTGAACGTTGATACCACACACGACGAGCGTTTTGGAAAGGATTGGCTACAATCTCCGCAGTTGGATTTCCTCCCTCTCACAAACTTCAACTTGTCATATACTTATATCATTCGATGCTTGACAATCCACACAACTAACATCAAGTTTCTTGCTCCCGTCAAGCCAACTCCTTGCTAGAATCATCAAAATAGAGCTGGAGCTAGTGATGGTTGGGTCGTTTACCGTTACTTGGCTTTCTGACTATCATCAAGGCCGCTAAATACCATAACAGACGAGAAACGAGTACCCTAGGCCGCTGACACGCTCACCTCGAAATCACTCGGAAAAGGATCGACCTTTGAATTCTTCGATCCGCCGGGTAAAAGTGAGGGGACGATGGGTATGCAAAAATGGAGTAATACGTCGGGAGCGGATGTGTTTTTCGGTACCTCCACGTACACTTTGAAGTGATACAACCTCGTATATCTTATAGCCAATATACGCGGACATCAATTTTGCTACAGAACCGTGCCTTTGCGGATGGGGAAGACGGAATCCTCGTGGAGACGTGTAGACGGGGTAACATCCCTTTCGAAAGGATAGCTCATTCCGCCAATCGATCAGAGTCATTACATCTCAAGTGCTGGCAAGCTCATTGAGAGCTCATTGGGAGGGGTGAGTGCGGCGAGTGCAAGAGCAAGAGCTTTAGAGAGGCTCAAGCGAGTTTGAGTTGCGCATGAGTACTTTCGAATGATAAGTAAGGCCCTAAGAAACTCTTTCAACCCAACTTGGGACTGACTTTTACACCTTTTCTTTGCCACAGGTCACATCGAAAGATGATTCTCTTACCAACTCGGTGTCCGAGGTATACGTTTGCCCATCCTTGTTCCCAGCTAACTCTCTCCCGAGTCGTTATACTAGGCAGAACAGACTTTTGTCTTTAGAGCATCCAAAAGCAAGTGGTGGAAAGTTCGATGTTGAGGTAACCCACCTCGGTTGTGTGGAAGTTGAGATTGTGCAGTTGATAGTCATACGGCCGCCGCTTATTGCAGCGTAGATCGTCAGTGGAGAAACGGGGTACCACAATACTAGTATCGACCAGGCTCAGGGCTGCTGTTGGACCCATATTCCATACACGCCCTCGCTCATTCATGAGGCAAGGTCTTGCTATTTGCGCGTCAAGAAAAACTGGTAACTGCGCATTAATGGGGTAGTGGTAACCTGGGTCGTTGCCATAGGTACCACCCAGTTCTCTTTAAGCTGATCTTTCGACCCGCCGGGGGTTCGATTCCCTCTTAATGCATGCTATGCCTGATCGGCAGCCTGTCTTTTTAGCTATTTCTGGAAAACGCGACTTGGTGTTTATTCATACTTGATTGCACCAGATTAGACCAAGTTTTCACTTGTTTGATTGTTACTGGAACACTTAGCAGATGCAAAGTGTTTGTACTTTGTCATGCTTCGGATAGGTTGATTCGTTCTTCTCATAGCTTCAAGCCTGACTTTCAAGCAATTTTGTTACACTACCAGGCTTCAAAGCTTCATGTGCATTAGAATGCATGATGCCCTATAGCTACTTGTTAGATCTTTTCCATCACTAGCCCAGGTACTCCCAGATTGAAGATTCTCCACTGTGCAAATGGACCAATACGCTGCATGGACATTTGCAGCCTCAAGTTACTGTTCACGCCAGACTCACGGCGAGTATTTTGGAAAGGATGACTAAATTGGGTACACTTGGATTCTTCTTATCCACCATGTTTCATCGCAGTTAAATCCCTCTTACAAACTTCGCCGAACCCGTTGTCACATTCCACTGCGCGTCACCCAAGTTCACTTGCTCCCGTCAAACGTTAAGAAATCGAATTCACCTCCTTGCTGTAATCCTCAAAATGGAGCTGGAGCTAACGATACTTGGCTTCATGGTTCTTCGCAGTTATCCCCCACAGACCCCAACCCGTTATTCAATGTCCCAGAGCACATCGCTCAAGTTTCTTGCTCTCGTCCAGCTTGAAATCAATCCAAATCTTTACTGTAGTCCTCAAACACTGGAGCTGGAGCTAACGATGGCTGCGTCGTTTACCGCTAATTGAATTTCTGAGTATCCTCTGATTCAGAGGGATGTTTGCGTTCATGTTTAACTATACTCGAGCATTAATGGGGTAGTGGAAACCTGGGTTATATAGAATCGGAATTGATCGTACAGTTTCTCGACCCGCCGGGGGTTCAACAATTCCCTCTTAATGCACTACTGTGTTTCCAGGTACTCTCTATTTTTTTGCTTTCAAGTCCATCCGTGACGTATAAATTAGGTTACTGCTTGGCAAAAGATTATAACATTGTGGGAGTAATACCCTTTCCCCCGGACTATTTAGGGCTGGAGTACACTCTTCCTTTGTTAACTCCAGGGAATGTATCTTGCAAACTTGCGTTGTATCAAGTTGTAATCAAAAAAATTCAAGGAACGATTTGAAAATCCTGTTCAGTGTGTTGTATCACTCTGTTGGTACGAAATGGTATTATGTACCCCACTAGGTTTGGCCCTGGCGGTGTCAAGGGCCTGTTATTAGAAGAACGCAGAATGCCGATGACTTTTTGCTTGCCTATTTGCCTTAAATCTATCTATCTATCTATCTATCTATTCTACATATTTTGAGCCTAGCTAATAGCTGTATCGTTACTATCGTAGAATTTCTGCAACACGTGATGTGATATGCCACGCAGACAGCCGAAGTAGCAAAAACGAGTGGACAAAGGACTCGGTTACCATATTTGGAAGTAACCCTTATTGTCCTAATGGAAATGAATGACCTTTGCACCTTTTTCAGAATGTAGGCGCTTAGAATGAAAAAGCTATGGAAAAAGGATAAACTTATCATTTCGACAATCAGTCGAGGGTCCTAGTCACATTCTTAAAATGGTCATTGTGTCTGTATAAAAGCAAGTCGCTTGGTCCCAGCACTCCATTATTCGCACTTTCACCCACTTGCTACTCATCGACTTCACATCCACAATCTCGAAATATTACAACGATGTTTGCTAACAACTCGAACACAAATGCTATCGACTCTGTCGCCACGAATTACAGTTCTCAGAACGTAAGTGTGGCGACTCACTGTTTTATGAGCTACGCTGACCATTGCTCAATTTGTAGTTCCAGGGTCCCAGACTCGCGCTTTGGCGCGGTTGGACTTCACCGTTGTTAGCTGGCTACAACGCGCCACCACCCACTCGTGCGGCGTCGCCTCCCAGCCCATGGGTGGCGTCGGCGACGCCACCACTTTCTTCTCGCTCCTCCGAGTCGTCGTACTCGTCGAGCTTTGCTTCACCGGTCTTTGGCCCAACGGATTACTTCGAGTTTCATCCTAGATATGATGTGTCTCTACCGGTAAGTCTTTACGATTGTCCCATCTGCAACACCTAATATTCACGGTTTATATTTTCAGGGTAAAAATATAAACCACGAATACTACGCGCAGGAGATGGGATTGATTTCCAGCTCCACTCCCTCCTCTCCTCCTCCCTCACCTGCCTTCGTTTTCGACGCCTTCGCCGAGGATGTGACCACCGATTGCTGGAAGAACCGTTGGACCCTGTCTACCGAGCGAGACCCCATCGTTGATCACGGGACTACCAGCGGCCCAGAGTTCTTCGACAGAGCCATCAAGGCCCCGAAGAGTCGCCAGGATCTCGCTTGGGCGAATTGGCGAACGGTCCGCGCTCCCAGACCGAAGAGGGCTCAGCAGTCTGTTGCGATGGATATCATGAGGATGGAGCAGGATGCAGAGAGGCTGTGATAGTGATACGCTATCGCCAAAGGTGCCTCTTGTAACTGACGTTGCCCAAGTTGAAGGCTCCAAATTTTTATTGTTTTTTCATCGTGATGTTGTCCCTGCGTTTGTATCTTGTAATTGTAACTGTATCAGTGTTAGATAGTATACCATCTGTGATCGAAAAGATTTACCTTGCTTGGATTTTATTTTCGTCGTGCGCGTTAGTTGTTGAAGAGAGATGAAAGAAGATTTTTTCAACCAGACGCCCTAAAGGTTTTTTTTTTTTCGTTCGAGAAACTCGGATGAATCGGATGAATCGATCAAACCGTGGGATCATCGATTGACGCAACTTGCACACATGCTAGGACCCTGGTTTTTCCTCCTAGAGGTTGTCAGCACACGCTCCCAAGTTCAATTGTCGCCAGAGCGCCGGCGTATACAATGTGTTTGTACTTTGTCGTTCTTCAGGTACTAAAGTACTAATAGGTTTGATGGAAATTTTATACCACAGGCTACCTCCTTCATAGAGAATGCACGACGCCCCGGTACTGTGACAATTCAACTGATCCGTCTTTACTTGTTGGATATCTCGCTGGCCAGGTACTCCCGGATTCTCCGGTGCTATTTGATGCGCCAATACTCCACACAGACAGCTGCAGCCTCAAATTAACGTTGATATATCACACGACGAGCGCTTTGGAAAGGATTAGCTACAATTCACCTCCGCAGTTGGAACTCCTCCCTCCCACAAACGTCAACCCGTCATATACATATACCATTCGATACTCGTTGGCAGTCCACCCACATTCGCACAACTAACAACATCAAGGTTTCTTGCTCCCGTCAAGCTTCAAGAAATAAATCCACATCCTTGCTATCCTCAAAATAGAGCTGGAGCTAGCGATGGTTGGGTCTTTTACCGCTGCTTGGCTTTCTGACTATCATCAAGACCGCTAAATGCCATAACGGACGAGAAACGAGTAGCGTAGGCCGCTGGCACGCGCACCTTAAATCACCCAGAGAAGGACCGACCTTTGGATTATCCGATCGCGATCCGCCAGGCAAAAGTGAGGGGACGATGGGTGCAAAATGGAGTAATACGTCTGAAGCGTATGTGTCTTTCGGCACCTTCACATACACCCCTCGTATATTGGATATTGGCTATAGAATACACGCGGACATCGCTTTTGCCGCAGAAGCGTACTTTTGCCAATGGGGGAAGACCAAACCTTCATAGCGACGTGTAGACGGGGTATGTCCCCTTCGAACGTATACCTCATTCTGTCAAGCGATCAGAATCATTACATCTTAACTGCTGGCGCGCTCATTGGGAGGGTGGGTGCGGCGAGCGCAAGAGCAAGAGCTTTGGAGGCACAAGCGAGTTTGAGTTCAAACTTGCGCAATGAGTACTTCGAATGACAAGACCTTGAGGAACTCTTTCAGCTTTTCTTTGCCACAGGCCACACCGAAAGATGACTCTCTTACCGACTCGACTCGGTGTCTGGGGTATACCTTTGCCAGCCTTGTTCCCAGCTGGCTCTCTCGTCATCCTCAGTAAAACAAACTTTTTTCTTCGGACCATCCAAAACCGAGTCGTGGAAGATCAATGTTGATCAGTTGTGTGGAAGTTGAGTTGATAGTCATACTGCCGCCGCTTATTGCAGCGTAGATCGTCAGTGGAGAAACGGGGTACCACAATACTAGTATCGACCAGGCTCAGGGCTGCTGTTGGACCCATATTCCATACACGCCCTCGCTCATTCATGAGGCAAGGTCTTGCTATTTGCGCGTCAAGAAAAAACTGGTAACTGCGCATTAATGGGGTAGTGGTAATCTGGGTCGTTGCCATAGGTACCACCCAGTTCTCTTTAAGCTGATCTCTCGACCCGCCGGGGGTTCGATTCCCTCTTAATGCATGCTATGCCTGATCGGCAGCCTGTCTTTTTAGCTATTTCTGGAAAACGCGACTTGGTGTTTATTCATACTTGATTGCACCAGATTAGACCAAGTTTTCACTTGTTTGATTGTTACTGGAACACTGAGCAGATGCAAAGTGTTTGTACTTTGTCATGCTTTGGATATGTATAGGTTGATTTGTTCTTCTCATTGCTTCAAGCAATTTTGTTATGCTAGTACCAGGCTTCAAAGCTTCATGTGCAGGTTTGGTGCAGCCTTGTGAAGATTCAACAGACCTATCCCTACTTGTTGGATCTTTTCAATCGCTAGCCCAGTTACTCGGAACTCCCAGATTCTCCAGTGCAAATGGACCAATACGCCACATGGACATTTGCAGCCTCAAGTTACCGCTCACGCCAGACTCACAACGAGTATTTTGAAAAGGATTAATTGGGTACACCTGGATACTCTTCTTCTTATCCACCATGTTTCTTCGCAGTTAAATCCCTCCCACAAACTTTCGCTGAACTCGTTGTCATTCCACTATGGGTTACCCAAGTTCCCTTGCTCCCCTCAAACTTCAAGCAACCGAATTCACCTCCTTGCTGTAATCCTCAAAATGGAGCTGGAGCTAACGATGGTTGGGTCGCTCACCGCTACTTGGTACTTGGTCTTACTGCTCACCGTCGAAATCCCCCATTCTTATTCACCATGGTTCTTCGCAGTTATGCCCCTCTCACAGACTTCAACCCGTTATTCAATATCCCAGAGCGCATCGCTCAAGTTTCTTGCTCCGTCCAGCTTGAAATCAATCCAAATCTTTACTGTAGTCCTCAAACACTGGAGCTGGAGCTACGGGAGCTGGAGCTAACGATGGCTGCGTCGTTTAACGCTAATTGAATTTCTGAGTATCCTCAGATTCAGAGGGATGTTCGCGTTCATGTTTAACTATACTCGAGCATTAATGGGGTAGTGGAAACCTGGGTCGTTGCCATAGACCATAGAATCGGAATTGATCGTACAGTTTCTCGACCCGCCGGGGGTCCAACGATTCCCTCTTAATGCACTAATGTGTTTCCAGGTACTCTCTATTTTTTGCTTTCAAGTCCATCCGTGACGTATAAATTAGGTTACTGCTTGGCAAAAGATTATAATATTGTGGGAGTAACACCCTTTCCCCCGGACTATTTAGCGACTGGAGTACACTCTTCCTTTGTTAACTTCAGGGAATGTGTCTTGCAAACTAGCGTTGTATCAAGTTGTAATCAAAAAAATTTAAAGAACGATCTGAAAATCCTGTTCAGTGTGTTGTATCACTCTGTTGGTACGAAATGGTATTATGTATCCCATTACTGGCCCTGGCGGTTTCAAGGGCCTGTTATTAGAAGAACGCGGAATGCCGATGACTTTTTGCTTGCCTATTTGCCTTATTCTACATATTTTGAGCCCAACCAATAGCTGTATCGTACAGGAATTTCTCCGACACGTGATGTGATATCCTGCCTCGTTTCCACGCAGACAGCCGAAGTAGAAAAAACGAGTGGACAAAGGACTCGGTTACCATATTTGGAAGTAACGCTTATTGTCCTAATTCAAATGAATGACCTTTGCACCTTTTTCAGAACGCGGAGAATGAAAAAGCTATGGAAAAATGATAAACTTATCATTTCAACAATCAGTCGAGGGTCCTAGTCACATTCTTAAAATGGTCATTGTGTGTGTATAAAAGCAAGTCGCTTGGTCCCAACACTCCATTATTCGCACTTTCACCCACTTGCTACTCATCGACTTCACTTCCACAACTTCGAGACACTACAACGATGTTTGCTAACACTTCGATCAACAATGCTATCGGCTCTTCTGCCGCCACGAATTACACTGGCAGTTCTCAGAACGTAAGTGTGGCGACTCGCTGTTTTATGAGCTACGCTGACCATTGCTCACTTTATAGTTCCAGGGTCCTAGACTTGCCCTTTGGCGCGGTTGGACTTCACCATTGTTGGCCGGCTACAACGCGCCACCACCCACTCGTGCGCCGTCGGCGACGCCACCACTTTCTACTCGCTCCGAGTCGTCGTACTCGTCGAGCCTTGCTTCACCGGTCTTTGGGCCAACGGAATCCTTCAACTTTGATTATCCCAGATATGGCATGTCCCTACCGGTGAGTCTTTACGATTGTCCCATCTGCAACACCTAATATTCATGCTTCATATTTTCAGGTCAAAAACATAAAACACGAATACTACGCGCAGGAGATGGGATTGATTCCCAGCTCCACTCCCTCCTCTCCTCCTCCCTCACCTGCCTTTGTCTTCGATGCCTTCGCCGAGGACGTGACCACCGATTGCTGGAAGAACCGTTGGACCCTGTCTACCGAGCGCGACCCCATCGTTGATCACGGGACCACCAGCGGCCCAGAGTTCTTCGACAGAGCCATCAAGGCCCCGAAGAGTCGCCAGGATCTCGCTTGGGCGAACTGGCGAACTGTCCGCGCTCCCAGACCGAAGAGGGCTCAGCAGTCTATTGCGATGGATATCATGAGGATGGAGCAGGACGCAGAGAGGTTGTGATAGTGATACGCTATCGCCAAAGGTGCCTATTGTAACTGACGTTGTTGAAGGCTCCAAATTTTATTGTTTTTTCATCGTGATGTTGTCCCTGCGTTTGTATCTTGTAATTGTAACTGTATCAGTGTTAGATAGTATACCATCTGTGATCGAAAAGATTTACCTTGCTTTGAATTTTATCTTCACCGTTCGCGTTAGTTGTTGAGGAGAGATGAAAGAAGATTTTTTCAACCAGACGCCCTAAAGTTTTTTTTTCGTTCGATAAACCTGAGATGAATCGGATGAATCGATGAAACCGTGGGATCATCGATTGACGCAACTTGCACACACGTTCCCAAGTTCAATTGTCGCAACTCGCCAGAGCGCCGGCGAATACAATGTGTACAATGTGTTTGTACTTTGTCGTTCTTCAAGATAGGTTGATTTGTTCTTCTCAAGACTCATAGCTTCAAAATTTTTGTACCACAGGCTCCCTCCTTCATAGAGAATGCACGAGGCCCCGGTACTGTGACAATTCAACCTATCTGTCCCTACTTGCCATTGGATATCTCGCTGGCCAGGTACTCCCGGATTCTCCGGTGTCATTCGTGCGCCAATACTGCACACAGACAGCTGTAGCCTCAATTTAACGTTGAACGTTGATAGCACACACGACGAGCGTTTTGGAAAGGATTGGCTACAATTCATCATGTTCCTCCGCAGTTGGATTCCTCCCTCCCACAAACTTCAGCCCGTCATATACATATATCATTCGATACTCGTTGACAGTCCACGCACATTCGCACAACTAACATCAAGTTTCTTGCTCCTGTCAAACTTCAATAAATCAAATACACATCCTCGCTATCCTCAAAATAGAGCTAGAGCTACGATGGTTGGGTAGTTTACCGCTGACTGGCCTTCTGACTATCATCAAGACCGCTAAACGCCATAACAGACGAGAAACGAATAGTTTAGGCCGCTGGCACGCGCACCTTCAAATTACTCAGAGAAGGACAGACCTTTCGATTCTTCGATCCGCCGGGTAAAAGTGAGGGGACGATGGGTATGCAAAAATGGAGTAATACGTCGGGAGCGGATGTGTTTTTCGGTACCTCCACGTACACTTTGAAGTGATACAACCCTCGTATATCTTATAGCCAATATACGCGGACAGCTACAGAACTGTGCCTTTGCCAATGGGAAAGACGGAATCCTCGTGGAGACGTGTAGACGGGGTAACATCCCTTTCGAAAGCATACCTCATTCCGCCAATCGATCAGAGCCACGACATCTCAACTGCTGGCGAGCTCATTGCGGGGGGTGGGTGCGGCGAGCGAGAGCAAGAGCTTCGGAGGCACACCCGAGTTTGAGGTGCACGATGAGTACTTTCGGATGACGAGGAAGACCTTGAGGAATTCTTCCAACCCAACTTGGGACTGACTTTTGTATTACCTTTTCTTTGCCACAGGTCACACTGAAAGACGACTCTCTCACCGAATCGGTGTCTGAGGTATACCTTGGCCAATCCTTGTTCCCAACTGGCTCTCTCCCTCGTTATACTAGGCAGAACAGACTTTTTTCTTCAGACCATCCAAAAGCGAGTAGTGAAAAGTTCGATGGCTGATAGTCATACAGCAGCCGCTTATCGCACGAGCGTAGATCGTCAGTTGGAGAAACGAAAAAAACTAGTAGTATCGGCCAGGCTGCTGCTGGAACCATACTCCATACACGTCCTCGCTCATCCGCCCATTCATGAGGCAAGGTCTTGCTATTTGCGCGCAACAGTGACCAGCCAAAGAAGTCAAATTCGCTGATTGTGGTGTAAGGAGCTCCTTGTCACTGTGCATTAATGGGGTAGTGGATATTGGATATTGATTACACGGCCCATTCAGCCTCAGCTGAAAGCGGTCCCCAAAGGGAACTAGCCGGTGGTAACCTGGGTCGTTGCCATACGTCCATATATTCTTTGTGAAGCTAATCTTTCGACCCGCTGGGGGTTCGATTCCCTCTTAATGCATGCTATGGCTCATTGGTAGCCTGTCTTTTTAGCTCGAGTTGTAATTTCTGGAAGTTGAGATTATGGGATTATGGAGTTGATAGTCATACAGCTGCAGCGTAGATCGTCAGTGGAGAAACGAGTGCAGAACTAGTAGTATCGGCCAGGCTGCCGTTGGAAACGTACACGCCCTCACTCATTCATGAGGTAAGGTCTTGCTATTAGCGTGTAGTAGTGACTGACCAGTCAAAGACGTCAAATTCGCTGATTCAGTGTAAGAGTTTCTTGTAATAACTGTGCATTAATGGGGTAGCGGTAACCTGGGTCGTTGCCATAAGTCCAAATTCTTCGTGAAGCTAATCCTTTGACCCGCCGGGGGTTTGATTCCCTCTTGATGCATTGAGTAATTGGACTATAATTCCACTATGTTTTTTGGCATACGGTTCGAGTTGTGATTTCTGGAAAACGACTCAAGTGTTCGCTCAGTACTTGTTCCTTGATGCTTCAGCATCATAGGCCGCTAGTCTTGATCAGACTTTACAACTGCAAGTGGCAGGAAGTCTTCTTGTATGTACCGAATAAAGTATTTCACATTTCTATAAGTCTATAGTCCAGACGCCTTGTTTTCTACAAAGGCCATCACGCACTTGGGAAAATTGAGCTTTCAGCTAAATTGAGGGTGGACAAAGGAGTCAGCTACCATATCTGGAGTTTTACAGCATATCGAAACGGGAACAGAGCGACGTGTGGAGTCCCATCTAGAAAATCAAAAAGCTATGGAGAGTCCTATGGAGAGTCACGAACTCATCATTTGAACAATCAGTCGAGGGTCCTAGTCACAGTCTTAAAATGGTTATTGTGTGAGAGTATAAAAGGACTTTACCTGTGGCGTCTGGGTCCAAGCACCCCATTCTTCGCACTTTCACCCACTTGCTACCACCAGCCCCGTATCCTCGAACTTCCAACATTACAACGATGTTCACCGATAACTCGATCTCTAATGCTATCGGCTCATCTGCCGCCATGAATTATAGTTCTCAGAACGTACGTGTGGCTACTCACTACTTCATGAGCGAGTAGCACTGACCACTGTTAAATTTATAGTTCCAGGGTTCCAGACTCGCTATTTGGCGTGGCTGGACCTCACCATTGTTGGCGGGTTACAATGCGCCACCCTCACGCACACCGTCGCCTGCCAGCCCTCGAGTGGCGTCGTCGACGCCGCCACTCTCTGAATGCTCCGAGTCAACTTGCTCGTCGAGCCTTGCATCTCCTGTTTTCGGCCCTACGGAAGTGTGCGACGCTGGTCTCAAAGGTGGTTTTTTCCTATCGGTAAGTCTCTACGATTGTCCCATCTGCAGCACCTAATATTCATGGTTTATATTTTCAGGAAAAAAACATAAACCACGGATACTACGCGTCGGAGACGGGATCGATTTCCAGCTCCACTTCCTCATCTCCCTTCACTTTCGACCCATTTGCGGGTGACGAGACCGCTTGCTGGGAGAACCGTTGGACCTTGTGTAGCGATCGCGACCCCATCGTTGAACAACGCATCACCAGCGCACACGAGTCCTTCGACAAGACGATCACGGCCCCGAAAAGCGGCCAGGATCTAGCCTGGCAGAACTGGCGAACAGTCCACATTCCTAGAGCAACATGGTTCCAGGAATTCATTGAGATGGATATACGAAAGATAGAGCAGGTGGCCGCGAGGTTGTGATACGAATAGGCCAGAGTTACCACCTCTAAATGAAGTATTTCAGAGTTTCATTGATTTTTCATCGTGATGTTGTTTGCGCATTTGTATCTGTATTTGTAACTGTATCAGTGTTAGATAGTATACCTCTGTGATCGAAAGATTTACTTGCCTGGATTTTCTTTTCGACGCTTCGACGCTAGTTGATGAGGGAATCGGATGAAAGAAGATTTTTCAGAGACGCCCAAGTTTTTTTCCCTGAGATGAATCGATAAAACCGTGGGATACATAATTTAGACGCTCCCCTTCAGAACGCCAGCGTATAGTGTTTGTACTTTATCGTTCTTCAGGTAAGTTGTTCTGTTCTCATAGCTTCACCTTGACTTCAAGAATCTTGTACCGCAGTTTACCTTCTTCAGCTCGAATGCACGGATGCCCTACTGCTGCCACAGTACTGTGAGGATTTAACCTAGACCTGTCCCTACTTGGATATCTCGCTGGCCCACGTACTCCCAGATTCCCCGGTGCCATTCGATGCACCAATACGTCACACACGGACACTTACAGCCTCAAGAAGTTACTAGTTACTTTTCACGCCACACCCACGACGCTTGAATATTGAATACTCTTCATCATATCTTCTTACAACAATGTCATTCGATGCTTGTTAACAGTCCGTTGAACACCTCAAATTTCCCATCCAACTCAAAATTAATCCATATCCTTGTGAAAATCCTCAAATTGGAGCTGGAGCTAAAGATGGTTGGATAGTTTTTCCGTTCATCGTCGAAACCCTTAAGTAAAACCCTTCAAAACTATATCAGACGAGAAACGAGTAGCCCAGGCCGCCCAGTGCACCTTCAAAACACTCAGAGAAGGTCCTTTGAATTCTCCGACGCGATTTGCACCAGTACGCCACAAACAACGTTGAAGTCAGCCCCCCACGACGAGTGTTTTGGAATTGGAAAAGATTTGGGTACACGTGAACGCTCTTCTATTCACATTTCTTCGCAGTTGGACCCCTCCCACAGACTTCAACCCATTATTCAATGTCCCAGAGCTCATCGCTCAAGCTTCTTGCTCCCATCCAGCTTGACATCGATCCAAATCTTCACTATTATCCTTAAACTGAAGCTAATGATGGTTGGGTCGTTTACCGTCAGTTGGCTTTCTCATCATCAAAACCCTTCAAAGCTATGATAGACGAAGAACGAGTAACCTAGGCCGCTGGCACGCCCACCTTCAAATAACTTAGAGAAGGACCGACCTGTGAATTCTCCGATGCGCTGGATAAAAATGGGGGGACGATGTGTGCAAAATGGAGTAATAGGTCTGAGGCATTGTGCGTTTTTCCGTACCTCTCTCCAGCTAAGTTCATGCTAATTCATACATAACAGCGTAAGTATATCCTTCGAAAGTGTTGCTCATCCCCCCAACCGCTCATTGCATCCCTCCCTCACCACTTAACACCACTTGCATCTCAGCTGCGGACGGGTTCATTGTGAGGAGTGGGTGCGACGAGTGCAAGGGTAACAAGAGCTTGGGAGACACAAGCGAGTTTGAGCCGCACGATGAGCAATGAAGAGTAAGTACGTACTTCATTGACGAGTGAGGCCTTGAGGAATTCAACTTTGGACTAACGTTTATACTACAAGTTTTCTTCGCCACGAATCACACCGAAAGATGCCTCTCTTGCCATGTCTGAATCCCAGTGTTTCCCAACTGACTTTCTCCGGCGCCATACTCGGTAGAACATAACATTGCTTTTTTCCTTCGGCCCATCAAAAAGCGAGTGGTGGAAGTTCGATGTTGAGATGATACATACCGGATTTGTGGAAGTTGAGATTGTGCAGTTGATAGTGATACAGCGTAAATCGTCAGTCGAGGAAGAATAACGACGTACCAGGACGTACCGCAATAGTAGTATCGGCCAGCTTGCCATTGGAACACACGGCCTTGCTCTTTTTTGGGGTCTTGCTCTTTGCCCGTAGTGAATGCCTGGCCACAGAAAAAGAAAACTGATTCAAGGATTTGCAAGTCATTCATCATAATCGGAGTAAGAAGAGTTGGCAAGGGTGCATTAATGGGGTAGTGGTAACCTGGGTCGTTGCCATGCCACTACGATCGACCACCACCATCTATATTTTCGGATCGAACTTTTAACCCAGCCAACTCTGCAGCTCTACTCTACACTATAATTCCTTATCTTCTTACCAGTTTCCGGGTCTCAGAACAACAACTGGGTCGTCTCACAAGAAATATGTCCCAAGGCATCCTGAGACATAGTCGCTAGAGTCGCTACTGCTGCTACATCGTCTCGCAGATGACTTAGGAAGTGTCCAAGGTATGCTATATAGATCTATGTATGCTGATGAACTTGTATATAGTATTTGTTGCTTTCGCTGCCTTTGCCGCCTCCGATATTACGGATTCTTCATCCCATGGACCTGTGATACTCCAGGTTTGAGATTTACGCCCTTCTACCTGGCTACAGCCTCTGTATCCCTCCCATTACTGTTGGCACTCCCAGTTCTCTGATACATCAGCCCTACCATCTGAAATTATCAGATTGAAAGTGAGTGTTAAAACTGAACAGAGGCTGGCTTGTCCTTGGGTCATTTTGATCTCCCACCCTTCAATCATCTGCTGTGGCTCCTGGTGGCCTGCTCCTCCCTCCCAAAGCTCTCCTCTCTTGAGCCACTCACTCTCTTGGAATTATTTTGAGTTGGCAGAATTTACAACTCTTTGCACGGACTGCCATATTTTATAGGCATTCCCTATAACAGACCTTCACCCCCTGTTTAGCTCATTAATGGGGACACTCCTCGCTTGCTCATAACCGATTTGTCCTTCGACTGGAGTGACAAGGGTACGGTTTGTTTACAAAGAGGTTGGGGGGGATTCTGATAGCGTATGAATGCTCCTTACGTTCACATAAAACCCTAGGGTGCTGGTGCGCCGGTTTCGCCACTGGTTGCGTGGGATTTGGTAACTTGTGCAAATAGGGATAGCACAGGAAGCCGCCCAGGATCTCGCAAGAGCCATTAAGGCCACAGTGCGGTTACGCCTGCTTGGGGACCTGGTTTTGCCCTAGCTCCCTCCCTCTTTTTCATTAGGGCAGAATGTGCTCCATTGAGCTGTAGATAGGTAATCGTAACAGCTAGCCTTGTACTTATGTACCTGGCCTTGCTAACATCCCTGCATCGGCCTCGCAGTCTACCTTCTCCATGAGAGTCGAGCTCGCTGCCTGTGCTGGTGTAGGGACCGGCTAGTTCCCTTCGGGGGACCGCTTTCAGCTGAGGCTGAATGGGCCGTGTAATCAATTCCAATTCCAATTCCATGTTCGTATTCCAGAGGCCTTTCGACCCGCCGGGGGTTCGATTCCCTCTTAATGCATGACTCGTCGCTAGCATACTGCTTCTATTTTTGGGAAACATGTTCTCGTACAAGTTCTGGAAATCGTGACTTACTTTATAGTGTTTACTCATATGCACTTGTTGCTTGACGCTTCAGTAGACCGCTAGCCTTGATCAAACGCAGGTCATAAGTACTACCCTACTCTTCTTGTATGTAACCACATTTCTATAAGACTATAATCCAGGCGCCTTGTTTTCTACAAAGGCCATCATCATGCACTTCAAGGTAATTTGTAAATCAAAGGACAAAGGAGGCAAAGGAGTCAGCTACAAGTCAGTTATCA